AAAAAAATTTGAGAGAGGTATATGAAACATAACAATTACACATTTCTTCACGAGGTCAATTTATCATTTTAGCACACCTGCATATATGCAAAAAGACACTAATTACCGGTAAACATATGCAGCACATTAGAAATAGCCAAAGTTGAGATGGAAATTCAACAAATAAAGCTCCCAGTGATGAAAATGTGCTATCGCAGGAATATCTAGCCAACAATTAAGAATTCTAAAACACCAAGAAGATGAAGATCCGGCAGAGATATGAGCTAAATATGCAAGACATTAAGCACTGCTCCAACGAGCAAATTTAACCAAGTTCTGTCAATTCAGCTAGTGGGTTGAGCTTGCAGAGATCGTGTGGGATGCCAAGGAAGACACAGAATTCGCTACCATTTGTTATAGACAGCATAGTGGATTGAGGTGCGTAACGAGCGCGGAATGCAATTAGCTAAAACGAAGAAATTGGCCGAACATGAAGGAGTAAGAGCTAGAGGAACGAACATATGTCGAGTGAGTCTGACCTTGTGGTGCTCAACAATATGCTCTGGAATCGCATGCTCGACTATATTTTTTCGGCAGACTTTGCAGTAACGCACCCGCTTCGACTGATCTAGCATATGTTGTTTCATGAAATGATCAATCAGCACCATTCCCTAAACGATTCACGGCTACGAAAGAAACGTAGAAAATCATCATGAGATGGAACCTACAGTTGGATCCTGTCCCATAGGGGTTACACAAGTTTTACAAGCGATAAATCGTTTCATCCCGTGCACAAGTTCGTGCGAAATTTTGATACCGTTGTACTCACGCTGCCATGGATCGGCGACACCACAAAGATAGCAGCATGTAACGTCGCATCTGAAGGAAAGTGATGAATATTTGTTGAATTCAAAAAAATCAAAAAACATATCGCTACTAATTTTCAAGAAGCATGAAGAAACCCTATTCTTCAATGATCTGAGGTTTAGTCGTAAACAAATTATTTATGCCGAAGAGATCAAAAGTTGTAAAATGACCAGCAGCATTTTTATATCTTCAATGTGCGCTTACTTATGCCAACAAGAGTTTGAAAATTAGCCCC